CTGGGCAACCAGTGGAAACTCGTACCTGGGGATTTGAGCTTAGTCCCTTATAGCTAATTAAGGACTATAAAGGCCAAGACCTTGTTCTTGCCATTTTTATAGATTCAGAATATAATCTATAAAATTATAGATTCAGAATATAACCTACAAAATTATAGATTATAATCGGCCTCCATTGTGTGATTTAATTCCAAGATTCCTGTGAGGAAACCCAGACTCAGAGGTTACTTGCCCAGGGTCACAGTGACCTGAGATGGGAACCAACTCAGGTTGCTACACAACTTGGTCACCAGGAGTGGGCCTGATGAGGCCAAAGAAGGGGACACAATCTGTCAAGTTTACTCACAAGGGGCAGCTGATTCTGCTTCCTAGGCTTGTGCCTGAGGCTCTTCCATTCTGTAACCATCAGGGCCAATCTGTTCCCAGGTTGTCACAAGAAACTACTGGAGCTATTATGTCTTGGAATTGTCTTTGCCCTGAGCACTCAGGTCCTGTTCTGCCAGCTCCAGAGGAATGCTTCATTGGGAACTTTCTGGGCTGGGAGATGGGTTTCCCTATTTGTGGCAGGGGGAATTAGAATCTATCAGGGAGAGCCCCTTCCCTTCTCCTGATATAAGGCCCTCTGGATTCCCTAGGAGAAGTTGAGGGCTGGAGGTAAAAATAGTAAGGAGCTCAATCTATCTTCTGGCACCTTGGACTGTAGAAGCAACAGCACTTATTGGCAAATTAGGATTTATTGAGTAAGGGTGCTTACTTACATGCAGAGCACTGTGTTAGACAAGACAGACCAGGAAAGGTAGATAGGAGAATGCGGTCCAAGAACTGGGAGGAGTCCTGCCCCCAAAGAGCTTACAATCTAGTTGGGAAGCATTGTATATATTAAAAAATCACAGCTCAAAGATACAAAATAACATCGAAGCAACATTTGCAAGTGTAAAGTCACTCGGTACAAAGTGGGAATGTAGGAATGGGTGCTGCTGGGACCCAGTGGCCAGCCACCTCCTCCTCTCAGCTCAGAGTCTTCTCTGTTCCCAGCTTGGGGACCTGGAGGTCTGTCCATCTGCCTCCATGCTGCCCTGCCTCTTTCTGTTTTGAGGTGTTTCTGACCTCCACCCTCCTGCAGACTGGGTGCTTGTCAAGAGCAGAAACCAGCCCCTTGTTCTCTGTCATGTCCTCTTTACCCTGCCACCGCCCTCTCCAAGGCTCTGTGTTCACCACAAGACAGTGGGCTGGGCTGAACAGGCCCAGCTGTGTGTTCTGTTTTCTTCCAGGGCACCCAGGAGGAGCCTAGGACTTGCCTCTGTGGAAAGATTGTGGGATTTTCTATAAGATGACCTGAGTTCAAGTCTTGGCTCCACTATATACTAGCTGTGTGACTTTTGGCCAGTCTCTTAGACTAGGTTTCTGAGTCTATAGAATGGGAAGATCAGTATTTGCTGCGCCTATCTCACAGAGATGGGAGATAGTCACAGAGGATGATAAGGGAGTGCTTTGGGAATAGTAAAACCCTGCATGGCTGGGGCCCCTTGTCCTTCCCTAACCTGTCTGAAGTTTTGGGATTAGATGACTACTAAAGCATATTTTAGGACTACATGATTACGAATGATTGGTACATAAGAGATGCTCAGTAACTGCCAATTTCCCTTCACCTCCATCACTTGAAGGATCTCTGACCCTATTCTGGGCAATAGGGCTGGAAGTGGTGGGGATCCCACATTTAGTTTTGGGTGAGATGCAATCCAGGAAGTAGAACAGAGAAATTCTTGGCACCTTCTAGAATTGGGGTAAGGTGGGGTAGGGATGAGGTACCTGAGACACATCCAGGCTGGGCTCACAGCTCAGTGCCTTGCTTTGAACTCCGAAAGCAAGGATACTCAGTTACCAGGAGGACAGCCCCAGAGGTCACCTTGGTTTCTGACTCCACGCCTACCCCAGCAGTGAGGCCAGGTGACTGTCACTAGCTGGTGGGGTTTGGGAGAGTCCTCTCCATAGTACCTATGGGCCAGAGCAGCCCTTTTCTGACCCCAGAGAGCTTTGGTCAAGAAAGACAGAAAAGAGCATAGGTGAGGGGGAGCACAATTACAGAGAGGTTTCTTATGCACAGCCCATCTCTGAGGGGAGCGGAGGGGAAGAAGAGGCTAGAGACTCAGAGTTGGTGCACACTGGGTGCTGGTACAATGTGGGATAGACACTGACAAAAGCCTCAGAAGCCTGGGGATGACAGAGAGCATGGAGAAGGGGCTCAAGGTGGGATCCTCAGTTATGCAGCAGGCTGGAGAGGGAGAGAAGAAATAGATGGGTCTGGGGGTGGGAAGAAGGAAGTGGGAGAACAGCCAGTGTGCGCTCAGGGTAAGAAGAGGTTGAGGCTGGATCAGGATGGGGCCAGCCCAAACCCATCTCCTTCTGCCTAGATCTTGGGGCTCACAGGACTCTGCTTTGCTTTCACCACCAACTAAAGGAAGTAAAAAAGGCTGAGGTCAGGCCCCTTCTGCATTCTCCCCCCAGGAAGCAGAAATAATGACAATGATCCTAATAATGCGTGATAAATGGTATTAAGAATTACAGTTCACATAGCATCTTTACATGCATCATCTCACTTAATCCCAGTTAATCTCACTCGAGAGCAATCGCACTGGCCTAGAAATTTAGAAGCCTGGGTTCTAGACTCATTCTTGCCTCTGTCTGGACAAGTCATTTCTCTTCTCTGGTCTTGAGAGCCGCAGCCTCTGGCCACAATAACTGTCTGATGGTGAGAGCCAGAAAGGGGGAGCATGGGCTGAAGGGAGGAAGGGAGGGAGGGAACAGATTCCTGGGGAGGAGGAGCTGCTGCCTGGGGGGATGGGAGAGTGGCATGGGTGATGGAGGGGTGTTGCCAGGTGCCGGTGGTTGCATGCCTGTGTGCCTTGCCCAGCCAGCCATAGGTGTGTGCTGGGTGAGAGGGCTCACTTGCGAAACTGAGTGTCTCCTTTCAAGAAGTGTCTAGTTGCAAATCTCCCCCTCTCCCAAGACAAAGGCCAGGGGCCCACAAAGCGCTTTTGTTTTCTCTGCCCAGGTGGGAAGCTAATCTCTGGGTCTGGGGCCCCTTGGAGATGGAGGTTGTGTGCACACACACATGCAGGTGTGCACACATATGCCTGCTTACCCCTTTAGAGAGATCCTTCCTCAGGGTGGAAAGAAAATCCTTGGCCACCCACCCTTCTTTTCCCAGAGGCCATTTCTAGGGGAGCTGTCCTCTGGCTGACACCTCCCTGCCTTCAGCAATGGATCCTGCCAAGTCTTGGGGCCCAGTGCTGCAGCTCTGGGGGATTTTCCAGGAGGGGCAGAGTAGGGGGTGGAATCAGGGCCCTCCCTTCAGCCCTCTCAAAGTGGCCTCATGCCCTTCCCTTCCCCTTCTCCTGGGGATGACTGGCATTGAGAACTCATCCACTGTAGAGGAAGTGGATTTACTGCAGGTGGGAGAGGAAGGGGCCAAAGGGGGCGAGGGAGAAGACCCCAGCTGTGCACACTTTCACTACCAGAGGCACACCTGTTCACACTTAGGGGCATGCACAACCCTGCACTTGAGGACAGAGGGGCATTCAGGGATAAACACACATTTGCACACTAGCAAAACCATACACACCATTCCCAGACCCCCGAAGGTTGGAGTCTGCACACTCCCCACCCAGTACCTCGATGCAAGTTCTCCAGAACTTTTCTCTTCCCTACCTCCCCAGCTCAGTCCCCTCCTACCCAGTTCTGGCAAGGGGCCAGAGGGTTGATCATTGGCCCTGGCAGCCTCAGGGCAGGGGATCTCCCAGGCTCACCACTACCCCGTTGCCCCCTTCCTGCCTGCTCAGGGCGCTGGCGGTGCACATCCTGGAAGTAGCTACTCTGCACTGGGGGCCAGCTTCAGATCTAGAGGAGAGTAGGGACGGGGTGGGCCCTTTGGCCTTGGGTTGGGCCCGGGCCTGGCAGTGGTGGCGGGTGTCCCCGAGCCCGAGGCGCCTCCTCGGCCCCACAGGCGGTCAGTCGGGGCCTTGGAGACGCAATCAGGCCTTGCTGCCCCGTGGCAGGCTCTGTGGCGAATGCAGCTCCACCGACTGCCGCCGTCGCACCTCGCGCTCCTCCCAGTCAGTGTCTGGCTCCAGACCCTTAAGCACTGCCAGACACTCCGACAGGCTCTTGGCTGGGGGGAACAGCACGTAGTTGTAAAGGAGGGAGCCCAGGATGGCGCCGACCAGGGGTCCGATCCAGAAGACCTGGGGAAGAGCAGAGAGGGGGCTGGCACCATGCAGGGGAGGCCGTGACACAGTCTGGCCCAGGACACTCCTCTCCCCACTTCACGTGCCATTAATATAATAAAGTACTTATTCATGTAATTAGCAACCACAACACGAGCTGTTGGGGAAGACCTGTTAGTGTGAGGGTCAGGGGTGAGAATCCTTAGAAGCAGACTGCCTGGGTGTGAATTCCGATTCCACTACTTACTTCCTGTGTGAACTTGGACAAGTTACCTGTTCTCTCTGTGCTTTAGTTTCCTTTCATTATACTAGTGCCTACCTCCTGGGGGGTTGTGAAAACTAAATTTGTTAATATTTGCAAAATACTTAGAACAATGCCTAACACACACTAAGCACTAGACAAGTGCTAAATAATAATAATAATAAAAGTCTTAGCTAGTATAAATATTACCATTTCTTGAGTTCTAAGTGCCAGGCGCTATGCTATCTGTTTTACATGGGTAACCTCACTTAATCTTCCCAAGAAGCCGATGAGGTAAGAACTGTTGTTATCCTCATTCTCAGATGTGGAAACTGAGTCTTTGGCATCAGACCTGAGGGTGGAACCCAAGGCTCCCAGGACTCCAGGAGGAGGTTTTGTGGCACAGCTGCTGAGGCTCCCCCTACTCTATTCCAGCCCTGTTCTCCCTCTGAAATGGCTTTCTAGGGAAGGGGAGGGCAGGGGGGTTTCATTACCCAGTGGTCATCAAACTTGCCAATGACAACGGCTGGAGCCAGGGAGCGGGCAGGATTCATGGAGCAGCCAGTATAGTGGATCTATAATGGGAGGTGGGGTCAAGGAGAGAAGGGAGGTGAGGAAAGGACAGGGAGTCCTTCTCCCCTCTTCCAATGCTTAACCTCAGCCTAAAGGGAATCCTGGGATGGACAATTAACTTCATGTTTTATTTGCAGTGCTCTAAACACTGGGGCTGGAGTGATATCCGTTCCTCTGGGGTATTTAGGAGCCAAACCCTTTAGGCTCCCTGTCCCTTTTGGGGGTTCTTTGTATCTGTCCCTCTTGGGGTCTTTGTGTCTGTCATTTTTAGGGGTTCTGGGTGTCTGTCTCTAGAGTGGTCTGTGTGGTCCCTCCAGAAAGGCTGGGACTGTGGCCATAACCTACCCCAAGGAGGTGGCCCAGGGCCACAGAGAAGCCAATAGAGAGGGCAGGGGTGCCCAGATTGTCTCCACGGCGCTCATCGGTGGAAGCAAAGATGCAGAGCACCAGCTGCAGGGTCAGGAAGAGCTCCACGGTCACGGCCTGGCCAGCTGTCGTGTTGTTGCTGAGCTGGGGACAGAGAGGGGGTGGGTGGAGGGAACACTGAGCCTGCTCCCCCTCTGGCTGTCGTGGCTCCAAGGAGGCCTGGGCTGGGGGCCAGAATTCCTGGACCTGCCAGATACCTTAGCTAGAGTCACCTGCCTTCTTCCTGGGTCCTGGCCCAAAGGCAGGGGGATGGTCCCCAGGACTGCCCATGATCCCCCCGCCAAAAGAAAGAAAACTGACTTTGGGGGCTGATGTTGTGTGCCTACAGCGTGAGAGGAAAAGGATGCTGAGATCCAGAATTTCTGTTTCCTGAAGAACAAGAAGGGAAGAGGGCTTGGCTCGGCTGCAGCAGGAGCAGTGGGCCAGGGAACAGGAAGGACTTCCTCTCTCCAGGCCCTGAGACACTGGTACGACAGGCCTGCGGTCTTTCTTCCTGGGGTCAAATGGCTCTGGGGATGGTCTTAGTGTGTTCTTCCCCCCATGAGTCCAGCACACGGCTCTTTTCCCTAAACTTTCTTTGCCTGTTCCCCACTGCGTCTCAGGCCTCAGTTTTTCCCTGTGGTTGCTCTCTGCACACCCTGCGGAGGTTGGGATGGGGGTGCTGGAGCTCTGTATTGCACTGCTTCCACACCCATGTGGGGTGCCCATGGTCCCAGCAGACCCTGCCTAGGGGAAGGAGAGAACTTGGGGCTGAGCAAAGAGGTGGTTTCATAATTGGGCCACACCCAGCACTGGATTTCTCCCTGGGTTTTGTCACCCTGTACCCTACGCCCTGCCCTTTGGGGCTGCGCTCTGCACTGGGTGGAGCTGTGACAGCTCTTAGCTCCCACGCTCCTTCTCTAGGCCCTAGACCCCCACCCCTGGGTCCTAGCCAGGCTGGCATTCGTGGGTCCCTCTGGGATCTAACCTCAATCCCTCTTGTGTTGTCCAATGTCAGAGCTTCTAGAGGACAGTGAAAAGTGCTTTGGAGACAGGTGCTTCAGAGGCCTCTGACTTGCTGACTTGCTGTGAGACTGTATTACTTTGGCCTCAGTTTCTCCTTCTGTAAAATGGGGATTTCAGAATGGATTCTGGAGGACTGTATGAGGACTGGAAATGACAAGGGTAGAGCCCAAGCCCCATTCCTGCTGGTAAATGGCTGCTCTGAGGGAGATGGCATGGATTTAGTGTCAGATAGCTCTGGGTCCATTTCCAGGTGCACCATCTATGGTTCTGTGATTTGTGTCAATTGAATGCTGAGTCTTAATTTACCACTCAGGGTCAGGGGAACACAGAATTTACCTAGAGTGCTGTATCAAGGATGAGTGGCCATCTGGCCTGGCGCAGGGCAGGTACACATCAAAGGTAACTTCCTGGGGGCCAGTCTGGCTGACCTTGAGGTCATCCAGCTCTCCCTAGTCTCAGGGTAAGTCAGCCCCCCTGCTGCCCCATTCCAGCCAGGTACGGTTCTCCCCAGTTCCTCAAGATGGTAAATGCTGAGCAATAGCTTGGAGGAGCTTTCCCAGACCCATACCTTCTGAGGGCCCCAGTCGGCTATAAAATGATGGAGAAGGACTGCATGTTCCGCATGGGATCTTAGTGCCCTCGATGCCGTGCTATTAGAGAAGGAGTTTCTTGGCCACGCTCTTACGAAGTTCCTCTTTCAGTCTAACTGGACCTCTCCTCGTTGCGAACTGAACTAACTTTGTTCTCAGTCTGTCCACCACCTTGGCCAGTCTAGCAGGGCCAAGAAGAGGGAAGTTCCCCAATGGCAGCACCTCTGCCCCTTGCATGAGGAAGGGCCACCTGTGCAGAGGAGGGGATGGCCATAGACTGTGCAGGACTCTTCAGAGATGTCAGGGCTCTTACTCAGTGGCCCGGGGATGGAGCAGGCCAAGGAACGCAGGAGACTGAGGCACAAAAGGCACTTGCTGTCTTTGTTGGAGGTGGGGCTGCCGAGTGAGGGTTATGCTGAGGGAGCACAGGTCACCCCTCCTGACCCATGCACCTCGGATTCCCAGGCCCTGCACAGACCCAGGAGAGAAGAAGGCGGTGGGAGGGAGGAGGGGCCATGGCATCACCCTCAGCTCCCAAAGTACCAAGGTGCCTAATTAGCCACCATACCATGTAATCGGCAGCTGGCTCACGGGCTCTGGGGATCTTCTTCTGGAGATGCCTTGCCCCTGCAGCTCTCCTCAAGGTGCTTTCTCTGGTATTGACAAATGGCAGAACTTTCGGCCTATCACTTCCCTTCTCTGAGCCTCAGTTTCCTTGTTTGCAAAGCAAGGCTTAGACGATGGCTCAGGGAGGGAACGTCGGTCAGGTGGAAAGATCATGGCGCTTCCCCTCTCTGAGCCTCAGTTTTCACGGCCTTAAGAAATGAGTATGCCCATCCCTACCTCGCAGGGCTGTGGCCTGTGAGGAGCACCTGCCATGGGGCTGCACACAGTCGATGCTGAAGAGATGTTCTCTCTAGAAGACTCTTGTGACTAGCACTCCAAGCCTTCCCGCAGCTCAGAAAGCACGTCTGCTTTGAGATCCTGAACCTGCCAAGTTCTAGCCCCGTCCTCTGTAGTGCGGGCATCCAGTGCAACAGAAACCTTCATGCTGTCTTCTTCCCGAGGCTCAGGACAGAAGGCACCAGCAGACCCTTTGTTCTTGCCTCTGCTCTGACATTATCCCTCCTTCTACCCCAGTTCTCCTAAGGTGGCTGTGTTCTTGGCTCTAGCCTCTCTCTCTGTCTCTCTGTCTCTCTCTCTCTCTCTATCTATCTCTGTCTCTCTGTCTCTGTCTCTGTCTCTCTCTCTCCACCTAGCCCCTCATCCACAGCCAGTCCCTTCCATCTCATCCTTTATGAGGCATTCCCCAGGATCTTCCCCAGCGGCAAAGATCTGTCTACTCACAGCATTGACAGCCAGGTCCCCGCGGATGTCTGCCGGTGTGATCTCATGGAGCAGAGCAGCCCCCGCCACGGCCCCCAGCAGCTGGGCAGCCACATAGAAGGCAGCTCGGAGAAAAGAGACATGGCAGCCCACCAGGAAGGCCACAGTCACAGCAGGGTTGATGTGGGCCCCGCTGACGTGGCCCAGAGCCTGCACTAGGGTGCTGATACCTAGGCCGAACGCCATTGAGATCTGCAGCACAGAAGGAAGGGCCTGTGGCCAATTGAGGGCCGAGCCAAGGCCAAAGAAGACGAAGAGGAGTGTGGCCAGGAACTCTGCGAACACGGCTCTGGAGAAGGCTATGGACCGGAGCTCCCACATGCTCCCGTGGACTGGCCCAGCAGTCTCAGGGCCGGGAGGCTGTGGCGCGCTCTGTCTCTCTCTCTCACTCTCTCACTCCCTCTCTCAGGGCCTCTGGGGAGGCTGGACTGTGGGCATTTATAGGGTCCTTCCATCCTGGATCTGGGCATATGAGGCAGAGGTGGAGTTCAAGCCTATACCTCTTCTCCCTGTGGCTGCCTCTGCCCCACTCCCCACCCCTGCCCACCCACATGCCTATCACCCCATCTTGGCCTTCACAGCTGACCAATGTTCCCCATTAATGAGCTCCAGATAAGGAATGACGTCCCCTGGTTTTCCGTGTTTGTTCCCTGGGTTACCCCAGGGCTGCTGCCTCAGGGTCTCCCCCAACCCCCACAGGGTTCTGTGAATGGGAACCTCTGTAGGGGAACGTGTCCAGTGCCCTCTCTCTCACCGAAACTGTTGGCCAAGGCAGGAGCAGCACCTCACCCAAAAGTGACCACAAGGTAAATGGTCAAAGCTACCCCTTCAGTGACTGGGAAGTTCCTTCTGCTGTTCAACCTCCAGTTATTCCTTCTTGAAGGGGATGGAAAACAACTGGTTGGCTTGTGACAATTTCCAAGGCATAAAGCTTCTGTGTCTCTTCTGCGTTTGCTCTCCTGCAGTTAATCACCCGTAAGCCACTAAGCTTCACCTCCTCCCTGGAACCCCAGCCAAGCAGCAGCCCCCTTACCCTGGAGGCAGGAGCTGGGTTCCGTGGTGTTGGGGCCCTGGCCCTGGGTGATGGAGTCAGCCTGGGGTCGACTGAGGAAGCCGAGGGCTTTCGTTCTAGCATCGCCCTCGTCATCACTGTGATTAACCTTTCTTGTCTTTCTGTGTAGAATGGGGATGATAAAACCTACCTCATGGGAATGGGGTTTAGATTAAATGATCTAACGTATGTAAAGTGTTCAGAGCAGCATGTGGCCCATGGTAAATGGTTGGTTAATATCAGCCTTTACCGATAGTATCATTTGTACTCTGACGAGGACAGATCTCCCCAAACTCACATGTCAGGGTCCCAGAAGCTGTGACAGGCTCTAGGCACCTCAGAGCCACCCAGGCCACAGGGGGAAGACATTTCTGTGGGGCAGTGAGCTGTGTAGGCTGAGGGAGGCTATGATGCCTGATAAGCAGCTCTCAGGCCTTGGTGCCCACTCAGCGCAGTGTTCAGGAAACGCCACGTCCTGCTATCAATGCTGCTGTGGCCGCTGGGGTCCAGGAGACACTCAGGTCTGGGAGTTCCCCTGGCCCCACTCACAGACCCCTGTCTCAACCCTCCAGCTGGCTCCCTCTCCTGGGAACCTAAAGGCAGGGCCAGGCTCTAAGTGGGGTCGCAAGGACGGACTTCTGGACCTGACTATACCCCCTGTCCAGCCGGTCCACGGGCGAGTCACAGTCCCAGGAACAGAAATCTGGGAGGATTGGAATCTATAGAGTGGAGTTCCTTGTGTTGTATTGCAAGGGGGAAACTGAGGCCCCGGGAGGGCAAGTGACTTATCCAAGGTGGTCCAGAAAGTTAGTGGCTGAGCTGAGGCTGGAACCTGGTCTGGAGAGCTTCCCACCAAATCCTACACTGCCGAGTCACACTCTGAGCCTCAGTTTCCTCGTCTGGGTGATGCGAGTAATGATACCTACCCCACAGAGTTGTTTTGAGAATACAGTAAGACAATGAATGGGAAAGTATTTTGCAACCGAGAATGCATCATACACATATGTATCAGGACTTGTGACTCCTGCTATGGAGGAAGGGGAGGAAGAGGGGGAGGAAGAAAGAAAAAAAAGTGGCCCAAACAGAAGCTCCAAAAGAGCAGGGATTCTTGTGGGTTTTGTTCTCTGATGTATTTCCAGTGCCTAGAACAGTGCCTGACACATAGGTACATGACACCCTCAGCCATCCCTCCCCAACTTCAGGCATTCCAGATAGTCTAGGAAGACATTCAGAGGGAGAAGGGCCCCCAACCCCGTGTCATGAAGGGTATCTGGGACCCACCTCCAGGTTGAGCCATAGAAAGAGACAAGGACCCAGAGAGGTCAGCATGGCTGTGTCTCTGCCCCCACTCAGGGAATGTGCCTTCCCCATTCCCTGCTTCTGTGGCTTCATGTATCATTTCTCCTGGCCCTTGGACATACAGTCCACACCAACTGGCTAAGTTCAGGCCTGAGCCGCAGGGGTCCCTGGAAAGTCTTCCCCTCTGGTCTCATATGAGCGGAAGTTGTGTCAATGGTTTACAAATCCACCCTCAACCACTAAGTTGATGTGCGCCCTTGGTCTCTCTTCTTTGGTCAAGGTGTTCATGATCTTGAGAGGGCAGCCCACTGACCCTTGATTTTGGGCAGGACCACCCTTAACCCAGTCAGGTAAAAATATCTTATCTCCCGATAGACCCAGAATAGGTGTTACCGCTTCTCTTTGTAGCTCACAAAGCCCCAACCCAACTTTGTGTAAGTTTGTGGCGTGCGTGTGTGTGTGTGTGTGCGTGTGTGTGCGTGTGCGTGTGCGCGCGCGCGTGTGTGTGCATGTGTGTGTGCGTGCGTGTGTGCGTGCGTGTGTGTGTGCGTGTGTGTGTGTGGTCATTCAGTCGCACAGTTATAGACATTGAACCTGATAGGATCTTAGAGATCATCTAGCCTATCTACAGATCTCATTTTACAGATCAGAACATGAAGTCTGGAGAGACTGTGACTTGCTGGGTCACCCAGCTCACAGAGGCCGTCAGGGTCTGGCCCCGAGGAAGGGAAGGGGCCAGCCAAGCCTGTGTCCCCACACTTGCCCATGCTTCGCATTCGACTTTCCCTACGAGCCTTCCTGTCAAAGCAAGTGGGGCTTGTGCTGTGGTTCCGGGTGAGTGGCAGGGCTCCCCCAGGGGCTGGAGGGTGGGGACGGCTATATTTTGTCTACGATGACTGTACATGGTGTCTTAGGAAGTCTAAGCTGCCACCTGTGCATCTATGCAGTGTTGTTTTCTTTTCTGTTTTTGGCAGCTGGCTAGTACACGGATCTGATCCCTTGACCTTGGCGTTATCAGCACCGCGTTCTGACCATCTGAGCTAACCGCCAGCCCCACCTATGCATCTGTGATGGATGCACTATTAATTAGAATATAACAAAATTGCTTTCTTGGTGATGGATGCACAACAGTGTGAACATACTTAATACCATTGAACTGTGCACTTAAGAATGGTTAAGAAGGTAAGTTTTACTTATGTGTATTTTACTACAATTAAAAATAATAATTTTTTTAAATGTCAGAGAAGGAAAATGACCAAAAAATACTTTCGTACCATTTAGCAATTTTTATTTTATTTATTGAAAAAATATTTTAGATTTATTTAGATATCTTGTGCATGCATAAAAAAGGAAATGATGGTAAAACAAATTGGCTAAAATAGTCCCAAAATTTCTTCACAGAGTCCAACTTTCCTGAATCCCTTTTCGACCCAGAGTCCTTGATGTTTTTCTACATAGCGTCACCTCTGTGCTATCAGGAACATTGGTGACATACCATTTCTTAAAAGATTGTCCACTATCATTTCCAGTATTTCTTTCCAAGCCTCGGATATTCATTCTGTAAGCTAATTGCAGGTGTTTCATGCTTCACGTGTGACTAGCATCATTTTGCCCTTTTCTCAGTAATAAAACAACACGACGCAGTTGCATCTACTTGTGGGGCTCTTCCTTTCTTAGGTCCCACAAAACGCTTGGTGGTTGGTCTGCAAGAAAATATGGAATTGTGGTCATTCTTCAATGATAACTGCTTCGCTAATAACAAATTCTTGCTATGCTTCTGCTTTCACGCCTTTCTGTATACATAATAACTGTGTTTAAATGCTAAACCACAGTGTAACCTTTCTGAAGACATTTCAAACAGCAATTAAACTGAATATATGTAGGAAAGAGGAGGCACAGAACTCACCTGACCAAGTTTATGCACAGGCAATGACAAGCACCCCCAGCTGCTGCAGAATGCCATGATTGTAAGAGACATTATGATGCAAAAACAAGGTGCACTTTAGAGTTAATGAAATATAGCAGTTATAATATTAAACACATATTTGTCCCCCACTCTGTCATGCACTGTTCTGGACATTCTTGCATGTATTAGCTCTTTTAAATCCTCACAGCAATCTAATGAGCTAAAGATTATCATTCCATTTTTTAAAGATGAGAAAAATGAGGCAGAGGGAAGTTAAGTAAATTTCCTGGGGTGACACAGCTAGTAAGTGGGAGGGCAGAATTAGAACCCCAATAGTCTGGCTTCAAAAGAACTTTTTCTGTCTACCTTAAGTGAATCATTGTACAGTATATTCATGTATTGAAAAAACATACTGTACCGTACGAATATGTGCAAGTAAATGTTAAAATAAAAAAATATATTAAAAAAGAATTTTTGATATGAAAGTCAATTCCTAACTCACCACCTGAAATAATCAAGATGGAAGAGACGCGAGAAAGACAGCTGAAGGCCTCTGAGTAATAGAGGGATTACTATGTCATATGCTGGTGGCTTGAAAGAGGGGGCTGAGGCCCTGAAATAGGGGAGGTAGGAGGAGAGTTTCTGTGGTGAGCTGGGCCTGTGTCAAGCTGTGGCCAGTGAGGATGGCCCGTGTCAGTGCACGGTGCCCAAATTCAGGAATGATACTGCCTGATGGTTGACGTGAGGTTTGTTTCCTGCTTTGAGCTGAGCTGCAAATGCCATCCTTTCTCCCCACAAGGTCGGTAAAAGTGGCTCACACACCACAGTCTGTGAGGCTGGTACTGTGGGGACAGAGGAAGAAGGGAAAGGGTAGACCCACAGCCAGGGCAAAGTAGGACAGCAGAAGGAAAGCAGCCCCAGGCAGCAAGCTGGCCGGGGAGTTCGGAGGCTGCGGCTCAGGCCCCTCAGGAGGCCGTAGAATTGTAGGGTGTTGGGTCCGTGTGGTTTGGGGACAGAGCGTGAGTCATTTGGTTCCTAGGAAGGGGTTCCAGATAAAATACAGGATGCCCAGGTAAACTTGAATTTCAGATAAACAACAGATGATTTTTTTAGTATAAGTAT